ATGAGAAAAGAAAAAAAGGCATGAGAGAAACATTGCTTTACAAACCTTAAGACTTGATAAAAAAAAATAAATTTTAAGTATGAAAGCATTGTAATTTAAAAGTTATAGCATGAAAACTATAACTATCACAAAAATGGTTATGAGGTCAGTCCCAGGGACCAAGCCCGGGTTGAAAGAATTAATAGAAGTTATTTTCTAAATAGCACTGGTTCGTAGATTCTTTCAAAGAACATTTTGTGGTAATGTAGAAATTGCAACTTGTAGAGGTTTATCATCTGCATATATCTTTGGAACTAGATACAATTCTTACATCTATTTCTGAAATAATTTTTGCCTAAAAATATGTAAAATTATATAAAATCAAATATATTCATTAAAAATAAAACACTTAATCCTAGAATTACTGACTGAAGACCACTGATGGTTTTTTAAACTTTGGTTTAATACAGGGCACAGCACCCATTAACATATGAGGCAACAAAATTCAAACAAAAATATCATCAATATTGCAAGTAATTTCACTTGTTACTTCTGGGGTCCACTATGTATTTTACGTATAAAATGAACAAAATTTTATCCAATTTTTCAAGTCACTTTTTTACTCTCTTTTTCCATAACAGGCAGAAAAATATACTCAGTATGATGCAATATGTGGACTCTCCTGTTAGTGAAAAGTGTGAAAACAAGTTGGTAATTTAAGGGTCAAAAAAAAACTTTTAAGGTTTCTTTATTTTTATTTTTTTTCTGGGAAATATCAGTCATCTGTGGTTGTTTTCAACTAGATAGGCAAAGATTCTATTTTGGACATGTTAAATAGTATAGTCTAGTTATGTATAGTCTAACTGAATGTATATTTGAAGTGTGGTTCTGATACATTGCTTAACTGTGGTAAAAATAATACTGTTTGATGAATAATGTCAATGCTCTGGTATCAATACTAACACATATAAATTCTATGGTACCAGTAAAATTTAATGAAGTTGAAGAATGGCTCTAATACTTATCAATACTGTGATACAAGTAACATGTAATGGAGTTGAAAAATGTTTTTAATACATAACACTCCCTTAGTACCAATAACACATAGTGGAGTAGAAGAATGGTTTTAATACATAATGATTCTGATACATGTAAGTGCTGTGGTACCAATAACATGAATAGACTTAAAAAGTAATTGTGGTAAATTGCTGGACTTTGGTACCAAGTATACTACTTTTTTACTACTTTTAAAGTATGATTTTAGGAATATGTTCCAGAGTTGCTATATGGTATCTTATCTCAGGTAAGGTGAAAGGGAACAAAGTGAAAAGGACTTATAACAATAGGATAAGAGAAACTTTTCTGACAGTTTAATTTATAATGTCATTAAATAGGATATGTGTAGGTATTGGATAAAGGTAAAATATAAAGAAAGTAAGGACAGTAGTGATTAAGTACAAGAAAGTTAGTTAAATCACCAAAGTAACATTTAAAAGTAATAACAAAAAATTAAGATAATTAGGCCAGAGAATGAAGGTATATTTGAAGTGTGGTTCTGATATATTACGTAATTGTGGTAAAAATAATATTGATTGATGAATAATGTTTGATGAAAGCAGTAGTCTAAGACAGAATACAGTAGAAAAGATAAACTATGATAAAATTATTTATATTACTGAAACTTGCATTTTTATTGAGAGGGGGGTGTATAGACAGTAGTGGAAATTTAAAATGTATTTGATGCATCATAGAATCCTTGAAGGTACATATGATTTCTTGAATTATGTCACATAAATTATTTTATTTTTAGGCCAAACGATTTATTCGAAGTACCAGAGACAGTGGCAGAGATCTGGGAATATTGGAAAGGTTCATAGCTGGATCTTTGGCTGGTGGTTTCTCTCAAACAGTTATTTATCCTCTAGAGGTAATCATAAATTAATTTTTAGTTAAATTTTGATATTTTATTAGCTAATATTTGATAATATGCAATGATTTTAAAACATTATTGCAAAATATTCAAGTAACTTTCAATGTTTATTGGCTTTTTGAGATAAAAGTACTATTTATTTACAAGATTTTTTATGCATTTTCTTCATATTAATTCTGTTTGAAACAGCAGATTTAATTTTCTCAGAAGTAAATTCATTTAATGAAGCTTTAAAGATCCCTCATTTACAAATGCTGTCAATTCTGGGCCTCAAACAAATTAATAAGATTAAGAGGAGAAAATCTCTTGTCACTGTAACTAAAACTAGTGTATTCCCAATGGCTATAGGTCTTTTCACTATCATTACAGCCATTACATGTAAGCCTAGCTGCAGTTATAATGACTTATCACTTTGAATACATGTAGGCCTAGCTGTAGTGATAGCGAGCAAACATATTGTCAGTGTGAATATATGTTAGGCCTAGCTACAGCCATTGTGAGCAGATGTATTGTTACTGTGACTACATGTAGACCTAGTTATTGTGATAGTGAGCAGATGTATCGTTACTGTGAATACATTTAGACCTAACTGTTGTGATTGTGAGTATACATGTGGTACTGTGAATACATGTAGGCCAAGCTTTAGTAATAGTGAATCAACTTAATGTAGTGATTTTCCCACACTCATTAGACATAGTGATATAAGTACAACTATTGAAATTGTTCAACATTCACTGTTATTAATATTTTTAATACCTGCATATTTTATTGTGTATCAATAATAGGAACACAAAAACAATTATATTTCTGAGGTTATTTCATTCCAACACTACTTGTGCTTTTTCTTGAAAAATCACTGCAGGATATTGTAAGTTGGTATTTCTGTTTTCTTTTCACCACAGATAAAAATTAAAATATAATTTATGACATGGAAGTTTAGTATATTCTGTGACTCACTGTATCCTCTGCTCTGGGCTGCAGTTTTGCCTAATCAAGGTTCATCAGCATAGTTTGGGTTAGCAAACCAAAAACAAATACAATAAAGCCTCTTATAATGGTGATGTGGTAAGTCCAAGGATACATTAAGCCTCTGTGTTACAGATCATGTTTTAATTTTTACCTTGGTGGAAAGAAATTACAATATCATCAAACAGTTGGTACAATGTTTGATACTAAATAACAAGTTTAGCAGAATCCTTCAAAATTAATAACATACTTAAAGTAGTTAGAGCTACTGAATTGTAATTTAAAAAGGACTTTAAAATACCATAAATGTTAAGATGTTGTTTTTCCTTGTTCTCTACTACTTTTATATCTTATAAGTAAACACAGAATCTAAATAGTTTTATGTAATGTGTTAAATAAGCTTTTAAAAAATCTTAGTGGAAATGGATAAAAATAAAATTATTGTATAATAAGTTATTGAATAATTTTTGAAATATCTTGTGAATGTGTTGAGCTTCATTAATTATGTTAGTAATTTTTTCAAAAAGATTTATATGCAGAAAAAATGTGCAAAAATTGGATTAGATTCCAAATTCAAAAATACTTTAAGTATGCAATCAGAAATTTTTGTAAGAATAATTGTATATTTGAAAATTTAATTATTTGTCAAACGTGTAATATTTTCCAGCCTTATAGTTGGCTTTATCATTTTTGTGAAGTTTGAGAATAAATAGTTTTTAATAGTGAAGAGTAATATGATATGAAATTTGTTCATCATCTTCTGAGCTATAAATTTTGCTGGGCTATGTGCCCTTTAATTATTATTATTATTTAATAATTATAAGTGTTGTGAGATATACATGAACAAATTAACAAAAACTTTTTCTTTATAGGTTTTGAAAACTAGGCTTGCTCTCAGAAAGACAGGCCAATACTATGGAATCTGGGATGCAGCAAATAAATTGTATAACAATGGTGGAATTAAAAATTTTTATCGTGGTTATGTACCAAACCTTCTTGGTATATTGCCATATGCAGGAATTGATTTAGCTATCTATGAAGTGAGTTGAAAGTTTTTTTTAAATTTCTGCACTGATTTATGTTTCTGTTGCACATTAACAAACCATTATGTATTTGCATACTTGTATTAACAAATGTAAGAAAGGTATAAAATATTTTCAGTTCCTGAATTCAAAGTAACTTAAGTATTAATAAGTATTATTACTAACAGAAACGCCACCCTATGGGCAGTTGTTTGTGCTAGTAATTATTCATCGTTGTATTCATACCTCATTGAAAACAATTTAGGAAAAGTGAACATTTTCTGAAAAAGGATTTTTCTGGGAAGTAGTACATGGTAAAAGTGTTTGGATTTTGGTGATATAACTTTATATATATTAAAAGTGGTACCCTTTATTGAAAAAAGTTTTTTTAAGAACTCCATTTTTTTAGTACTATATTTTCAAATAACATCAATAAAGATATAATCAAAGCCTCACATACAGTCCTAGTGATAGTTGTGATCTTGTTGTGAGGAGAGTACTTTTATTTAGAATTGTGTTCTGTGCTAAAGAAATGGTTGTTGCTCATACCATAGTTATTTTTCTACCTGAATCTTGAATACCCAAAGTGTGAAATTTTTTTTATGAATTTTTGTCTGTGGTGGCATTCAATATTGTATTTATTATTTCGATCGCATACATAGATACATATATATATGCTACATCCATTATGGGAAGATTATTATGTATAAATCTAAGATTGAATGTTTACTCAGGATATCTAGAAATGTTTAGTAAAGCTGAATTGTCAACAGAACTTCCTAGTTTATAAATCTCATGTTGCCTTATTTATATAAAAATCTTTATTGTAATTTTATCTTGTTAACATGTTTTAAGCAGATAAATACAAAAGCCAAGTGATTCTTTTCATGTACAGAAGAATGAGGTACATTTTTGTAATCTTATAGAATCTATTAACAAAAATGTTGAAATAGTTATTTTTAGTTAGTGAGCTTTTTTTTAAAGACCATTCTAAGTCACATTATTTCTCTCAAAGACTCTTAAAAAAATGTATCTAAGACAACATTCGAAGCAAGAGGACCCAGGTGTTCTGGTATTATTAGCTTGTGGTACTATAAGCAGCTCATGTGGTCAAATAGCAAGTTATCCATTAGCTTTAGTTAGGACTCGACTACAAGTTCAAGGTAGGTAAAGTTTACATTTTTGGGCTTAAGATTTTGTAAAGAAATAATAATTGTTTAGTATGTTTGTTTTTGAATTAATAATTTATAAATGTAAATTATTTATATTTGAGGTGTTAACAAAAACATTTAATTCTTTTGCATATATTGTTAAACTCAAAATAATAAACAGTAGATGAAAAGGGTTAAGGAAGTGTCAGTATTGAAATTTTTGTAATACTGTGGTGTAGTTCATTTTTTATAATTTTAACATTATGTAAATGACGTTCAAAGTTCAGGCTACCTGGTAAAAGTTTAACTTTGTTAAATGTGAAATTATTTTGAAATAGTGTATTTAGATGAAATTGTGTTATTGTTAGTCTGCTTACAAATGTAGCAGGTGTTTACAGGTATTTAAAATTTATGAGGGGTACCCAACAAATGAGGTTAAATTTAAAGTAACTGAAATACAAAATTAAAAAGAGTGGGAAAAACTGCATTTCTACCTGATGATATTAAATTGTCTCAGTGAAACATTTCATGTTATGCACTTTTTCTTTTTATCCAGAACTTAGTGGTTTTCATTTGTTTTTGTTTCTAGATGTATTTTATTGTTAAAAGTTTATTCTGCACATTTAGTACTTCAGGTACTTTATTCTTAGTACTTTCAGTAGAGCTGGATAATAATAATGGAATCTTATTTTACAGAAAATACATCAGAAAATAGCATGGTGTCTGTGTTTCGTGGCATTGTCCAACGAGAAGGATTTAGTGGATTATACCGAGGAATGACTCCAAATTTCATGAAAGTTGCTCCAGCTGTAAGTATCAGCTATGTGGTGTATGAACATGTACGTCGAATGTTGGGAGTCTCCATGACGTAACATCTGTGGTGTTTAGTATTAAATTTAGGATGTCTGACTATAAAGCTCCAGCTAGAAATTTCCTACTTTTATCTAATTCTAATGGTTTGACAGATCTTTCTAATTTTCTTAGTTTTTATTTTACTGTACTTGCATCAGTTTTTGTATATTGAGAGCTCAGGAAAGATGAACTGTATAACTGGTATAAATTATGATCAGTCAAAAACTTTTTCCTATGTGTTTTAAAACTAGGTTCCATTTGTTAAATTGCTTTGTAACTTATTTCGAGGTATATGTATTTTGTAATTTGCTTATTTTAAGTTTCATTCCAAAATTCATTCATTTTTTGCCACTAATTTTCTCACACTCATTTATGTTTAGCTTTTAAGATATAGAAAAATTTTACCCCATGTGCAACAGAAAAATCTATTTTTTATTAGTATCTTTTAAAATAATTTAGGAGTTGGCACTTACTGAATTGGGAAATCTAATTTTATTGTTTGTAGATTTAAAAAAATATATCAGAAGCAGACTTCAATACCTGTGGTGGTTTATAACACAAACTATTATGTAGGTTTGTGCTTAAACAGTGAACAATTTTTCAATTTAAAGAAATTCTTAAATCATCAAATTGCCTTTACTATTATAACCAATGGCAAGGAAATACTATAATTTCTTGATCTAAAATTTTTCTTTCTTTATCAGCCATGTAAGTTATTACATGTGGTTTGATTATCAGTAAACAAAAATTACATCAATCTAACTTATTTTGAGTATTTTTGCTTTTGAAATCCTATTAAAGTCAAATTGAAATGGAAATTAAGGAAAATAATCAATCAAAAAATGCTAATAATATGTACGAGGTTTTAACAAGATTATTCAAACAATGGTGTGTATCAGAATTTTATTTTGAAATGGTTGGTCCTACTTCATCAAGTAAGTTTCCAATCCCTTAACATGAAATAAGCTTAAAAGGAAATCAACATTACTTTGGAAGGATAGTGTATTTGATAACAGAGTAACATTTTTGTTCTTTTTAACCCCATATGTGATTTGCTCAGGATAACTCAGGAGCCCACCACGTTTCAAAAACTATTTGCCAAGGCTAACTTGGACAAACAACTTTTAGTTGCATTTCAAATTATTTGCCCAAATTTACTTGCATGTTATCATGTACTGCAATAGACTATAAAAAAAGTGAAACAAAAAACTTTCCTTTTTCAGCCTCACATGAAAGAGGTTAATCCGAATTCATTAGTGCTAAGTCACATGGCACTCGACTGAAATTTACCAAAGCTTCCTGAAAACAAGCTAGGTTTAATGAAAAAATAATAATGTTTGAAGAATAGATATGCTTAATGTTGCTTCTGTTTTGTGAAGTTTGTTTCATGAAAGGAACATCATTTTGGAATTCCTTGTTTTAATTCCTTTTTTCTCCAAGTTCTCAAGTATTACTTGAACATTAGTTTTAGCTAGAAATTCATTCTTATTATTTTATCCTTGGTTGAAAGTTTATATGAACTGTAAAGTACATTATAATTACACAACCAAACCAAGAGTCATATAACCCAACAGGAATGTTTAATTGTGACTGTTTCTTTCATTTGCAAGAAAACCACATTAACTTTGAATATAAACATATAAAAATGTTAATTCTGAACACACACATGAATAACTTTGATAGATTATGATTTAGAGTATGAATATCTTGTCTTAATATGAATAGATAGTTTTTAATTGAAAATTAGATATATATATATATATATATTATTTTTTTTTCACTTATTATTATGTACAAATTATACAGAGACTTGACATAAGTATATATATTCACCGAAGTTTATTGTGGAACTATATTTAGCACTGGAAAAAATGAGAGGGTTTTTATACTTTATGATATAGCCTTTTGCCTTATACAGGGTAGCAAAATGCTTGCACATAGTGTGGACAAAATCAGCAGTTCTTTTTAGCAAGACTGTAGCCCATTTCTAGCACAGAATCTGTATTAGAGAATCCTGGGAAGTAGGTTTACTGGAATGTTTTCTCAGGGATTGATTGATGTTAGCCCATAGTTGCTCAGTGGAGTTCATGTCTAGAGGTTGATCAGGCCATTGCAGAGTTGTGATATCCTGACTTTCTTTTCATCTTAGGATATGTAAATCTATGTATATCAAGTCTGTATAGACCTTCCATCATAGTAATGTGACAAATATGTAACTGTAAACTAGTCTCATGATTTAATTTTTTCACTGAACAAACATACCCTGTTTCCAAAAATTATATAGTATAAATCACTTGATTGAAAACTTCTATGGACTATGTTAGTCTTGTGTAGATGAGGGTTTTTTATTTGTTTTTCCGTTATCTCTGAACTGTAATTTATTTAAATCATTTTAAACAAATATTTAAGCAGTTGTCTCGTTCTTTTATATCTTGTTCTTTGCTTATTTAGTATTTTATGTTTTGGCAAGTTGAGCAAAATAATTTGCACAAACATTTCATTCTGGTCTTTAATAATTTTGAAATGCTCAAATTGCAAAATGGTAGTTTCTTTCAATCAATGACTTAATCCTGAGATTGAGTGTAACATGTTTATATGACTGAAAGAATATAACATGCTTTATTAAGTATTTAACAAAAGATTGGTCATGTTAAATAAGGTGTGTTTATATTGATCTTTATTACTGCTCATACTGTTGCAAATAGTAAAATGAATATTTTTCAAATAACATGAAAAAGTGATCAGTTTTTGTTGTTGTATGATGCAGTTTTGCCTGCCAAGGCTACTGTGGTATAAACATTCAGCAGTGCAGGATAATTGAACCCACAATATTGTTTCATGTTTAGAAGAATCCATTAGAATGTAACACAAGTTTCTTCATCTCGCTACATGAAATATAAACTGACACACATACTTGCATATTGATAGTAAAAATTGTGCTCTAGTTGTTGAAATTTCAAAAGGAGACGTACTCTCAAATCTATATTCAAATAAAAAAACGGTGTTTTCTCTTAATTTCACAGTATTAAACAGTGTATGTGTTGTGGTTAACATACAGACATAATGGGCGTATTATTTTTAGCTGATTAAAACATTGAAATTCTGTGTGTATTGTTAAAAACTTGTCACTAGATAAGTAATAAGGAGTCAGTTGTGCTTATATAAGACTGGCCTATGAAATAGACAGTGCAATATATTTTTGTAAATTATTAATACACATTGTAAAAAGCAATTTATTCAGTGATAGGGAATAAAAATCACTGACTAATCTTCAGTTGTAAAAGTAACTTGGAAACTAAAAAAATAATATTCCCATATGCTTATTTATGAAATAAAGAAATACCACTTTATAAAATATGAATTGAATAGTATAATGTTATAGGAAATATATTTTTCTTACATTATTTTATTATAAATTGTAAACCTGGTCCAACATTAAAATCACTAATAGGAATTTTTGAAATATTCCATTTATAAAGTAGGTCACATTTTTATTTGAATCCATGATGAATTAGTTTTTCAGTTCTTTTGACCATAGAACAATTCCATTAGCACTCCACTCTATTTAGAGATAGTAAAATAACAATTTCAAATGTGTTATTTGTATTGTATAACATCATGTGTGTAAATAAATTTTTCTTTTGCAGAAAGATGGATTCTGTTCAATTTTGATTTCCTAAACAGTAACAGAAATTTGTCCAACACTTCTTGATAATTATAAATATAGTTAAGTCCAAGAATATATAATCATGGAAGGTTTTTACTTTAGGTTGGAAAAACTTTGTATTGGCAGGTGGCATGAAAATTCTATCACATTACTTTTATCTTCTCTCATATCAGTAATTTTCTAGTTAACACGTTTTACAATTATTAAGGATTATCTTTTCTGTCACAGCTAATTTTATATTACTTAAAAGTCTCTGTTGAAAGAATTCAAAGTCTTTCTTTTTTTTTACGAGATTCTCCCTCTCCTATCTAGCAAAACCACAGTGAATAGTTTCTTTTTTCCACTTTAGCTCCTTAAAACAAATAGTTTTTTTTGTCATAGCTCACTTTATCCATCCCTGTAATTTTAAATCTCTTCATATTCTAGAATAAATGACAGTCTTTCTTTAACTGAAATAGTTTATTTCCGACAATTCTTAACAATTTTATCTGATTTAAAACCAACTAAAAACCTGGATTTTTTTGCAGACATTTTGACTTCACCCTAATTTAAGAACAATTAAATATCTTGTTTTTGTTATTGTTTTATGTTAGAGAACACCAAGTACAACAAAATTGTGATAAATTATGAGACTAAGTTTCAACAAAGTCAACCTAAAAATAAACAAAAGTTTGAATATCATAAAGTTTTCATAATTCCAATCTAACAACTGTTTATGACTTGCATATTATATTCAATTTTTCCAGTTATTCAAACTTGACACCCAGGAGAGAATTTTTGTCAATGTTTCAGAAATTATACAGTCCACCATCATCAAGGGAAATGATAAATGTTTCAACTGGAAAAAAAAGTTTGTAATACATAAATTGTTCCCATCAATGTTCCATTTTTATGCGCTCTGCCTTGTATTCATTATTGTCATAATTGATGTCTAATTTGAATTAACTAGAGAGATGTGCATTATTCAATGAATAAGCCTTTTAATTGTCATTAACTAGTTTTTGGATATATATTTAATGAAATTATAAAAATGTATTGAGGCCCGGCATGGCCAGGTGGTTACAGCGCTCGACTCGCAATCTGCAGGTTGCGGGTTCGAATCCCCGTCACACCAAACATGCTCGCCCTTTCAGCTGTGGGGGCATTATAATGTGATGGTCAATCCCATTATTCATTGGTAAAAGAGTAGTCCAAGAGTTGGCGGTGGGTGGTGATGACTAGCTGCTTTCCCTCTAGTCTTATACTGCTAAATTAGGGACGGCTAGTGCAGATAGCCCTCATGTAGTTTTGTGCGAAATTCAAAACCAAACAAACAAAAATGTATTGAATATTAATTCAGAATTTAAACCATAATGAAGGATGGTTTTACAAACAATGTTCTTCCACAAGCCATACATAAAGAGGAGTAGTGCTACAGTTGTGTAGTTGAGTCAAAATGTAAATAACTTGACTCAAAATACTTCAGGTTGGGATAAAACTTATGTTTACCTAAGTCCAACAAAAACAAATTTTGAAGTAAGTAGAATATTTAATAAAACTTAAAAAGGCATACAGAAATAAAAGTTTTTAAAAACTATTATAATACTTTGACATGCATCAATTTGATGTTTAAGTCTTAAGATATATCTTTTTTACAGAACTTTTCATGAAAATCCCTTTAAAAAAAAACTAAGAAATTAAACTGTTCAAAGGCATAGTGTCAATAATACACTGTAGTGCATGGGCACTATAAACTTGAAAAAACCCTGTAATATGCATTACCAACATTTTTTGCATGTTCCTATAAATTTATCCATTGCTTGAATACTGTTTCACCATGTTTCTACTGCCATTACAATTATCAAAATTCTCCTTCTGTCATTACTAGTCATGTATATTACTGGCTATCTACAATTTTGACCAATGAGAAAGATTTTTCTCACTTCAACTTCCAAAAGTTATCTTTTTTTAAGGCAATGGAAAATAAATAGCCAGTTTAAGCTACAAGTAGAGAGAAAATTAGATTTGATAATTTGTTTAACTTTTAAAAATTCTATATT